AGGCGACGTCTCGCCACCTTAGCTCGTAAGCAACACCTGGGCTGTACTTCTTCTCAGACAGACTCGGTTGTTCCTTGGGCCAGCCCTGGTGTATTCACATTCTTCACCAACGCCGGAATCCAAACGCACTAATTCTTCTTTGGTTTTCCCGATTCCCGGCTCAGCTTTCACGTGTGTCCGAGGTAACAGACTGAAAGTCCCGTGGTTTGGATCAGACATCACCTTAGTCCTCAGAGGGATGTCTTTGCTGTTGAAAACTTTCAAGAGGTAGGCCTAGACCAGGGGTCCTCAAACTAAGGCCCGGGGGCCACATGTGGCCCGCCGGGGACATTTATCTGGCCCGCCGGGTGTTTTTGCCCCGTTTGCTTTTTGACTTCAAAATAAGATATGTGCAGTGTGCATAGGAATTCTAAGACGGACCCCCAAAGAAGGAGAAGGCCTGGAGCAGAGCATGACAGAACAGCCCCCCCTCCCCTGTTTTGAGAAGCTGCTTTTCGACACCTTTAAAATGGCTCAGCTGCGGAACCGTCCCAGAAACAAATTCACTGCCATCGAGTTGATTCTGACGCACAGCGACCTTCTACAGCAGGGTACAACTGCCCCCTGGGTTTCAGAGACTAACGCCTGCTGGGAATGGAAAGCAGAGGTTTCGAACCGCTGACCTTGCAGTTAGCAGCTCCACCCATCATTAAAGCAGCATCAGACAGTGCTTCCGAGGTGGCGTGAACCTGGGCGAAGGAGCAGTGGATAACTGCTCCATCGAGAAAGTTCTACTAACATGCCACCTTCAAACAGCTAGTAGCAATGGGCAAGCAAGGAAACAAACACTTCTAACGCCCCATCGTCCCGACGGCCGGCCAGACGTGGCCCAGGCCGCTTCGTCAGTTAGTGTAGTATGATGTCATGGTGTACTGTTGGCTCCTGGGGGACCCACAAGACAGAAGAAAACTGTGCATGGAGTCCGGGGTGGGCTGAACCACAAACCTTTCAGTTAGTAGCTGAAAGCTTGACCCTTGCGCCACCAGAGTGGAAGGGAGGGGAAAAAGCGGTCATTTAACTCTGTGAACACACACACACAACCCCCTTTCCTCCTCGCCATCAGAAATGGGAACAAGAAGCCAAGCAGGAGTCGAGGAGAAGAAATGGCCTTGACTAGTCACAACACCTACTGAACCAACCTCTCCTGGGACAAATGGAACCTTGTTTCAGCTCGCCAAGTGAACTCCCGGTCTGTCATCCTCGCGTCCAACACACTGACCCTACCCGGTGCTTCTTGAGAACTGGTCTTGCCACACGAGCTGGCTCCGAGCTCACCATCGACGTCACGGATATTTAGCCAGACGGGACCTGAGCACGCCAGCCCTGCACAGACCAGGCAGGTAACTAACAGTACTGTGAAGTCTAAAACACACATGCACACAGGACCAGATTTGAGTCGTTTCCACAACAAAGAATAAGAGTGTAAAGATAAGCCACATACCTGCTGCTTTGTCCCCTCTGGGAGGCCTTCATCTTGAGCCACCTGGACATCTCACTGGCAGGGCCTCGGGAAATGTCTGCAACATCCGGGTCCATTTAAAGTTTGGAATCCTCTCCCCCGAGTGTAAGACGGCAATAGGGCGCAGGAAAGCTGACGTAACAGGTGTTCATTATAGCCTTTGGTTAAAAGGGTGGTGGGATGGGTGGGGAAGGTTACTGATCCCATTGACCTTCACAATACAGGTGTTCCCAATTGGCTTGTTCATCCCAGGATCCCCGGAGACCCTTGTGAACCCAGTAAGGCATCACAAGCCCTTCCCTTTAATAGTCCGTTCTAATTTCACCCCAGGTGACCACTGCCACGCAGCTGGCTCGAGAAACACCACGCAGCCATTTAACAAATCAAGCAAAGGTTTTCTGCTAAGACAGCTGGGTTCTCTGAGTGACCTGAACACGGGGTGACAGGGGGACAAACATCTTGCCCAGCAACCCTGCAGTAAAGAACTCATAAAAAAGACCACCAACCCCAAGACCACCACCAACAAATACCTGCTCCACCCTTTAGTACAA